ACTCCCTCACAGACAGCTGTTCTCCGGCCCCAGCACGCACGCGCACAGGCGCACGCGCGCGCGCGCGCGCGCGCACACACACACACACACACACACACACACACACACACACACACACTCAGACACGCACCCCTCTCGCGCGCCGACACACGCGCGCACACGCACAAGCGCGCGCGCACACACCCTGCCGCCTGCCGCTTTACATAATGCAACTCTTTGGTGCGGTCAGCTTGCCAGCTCTCAATGATTTATGCCAGTTTGGAGGACAGAGCCGCCGGGCGCCCCGCGAGCATGATTTCCCCTCCGTCCCCAAACCGGACCAAACGCCAGATGATGCTCCCAGGAGATCCTGTGCCCTTTGCTGCCACCAATTATTTCCCAGGTGTTGCCTATTAGGTCAACCTGTATCAAGGAGGTGACGCTGAATCAAAACACAGGCGCCTGGCTCAAAATAGAGCCTCGCCTCTTTCAAAGGATGACAGCTGCTCTCACGGCCCCAGCCTTGGGAATACAGGAGAGGAGGAAGGCAGCGCTGGAGACCGGACTCTACGCAAGAAAATGGCTGAGGGCCTCTTCAGGGTAGCCTCTCCCAGACTCCCAAGACAGCCGGGCTGATCCTCACAGACAAGGAAAATAACACTCAAGTAAAGCACTTGCAGTCTTGACAAAGGAGGCTCATCTGAGTTTTTGAACTCCTAAGCTGCGCCTCTTAAAAAGGTTTTTCTGTCCTCTCCATTCACTGAAGCGCAGTGATTTCAGTGGTACTGCAAAAGCCCCCACACAAGTGTTCTTTCAGTCGAGAGGCAGGCAGTCTAGTCAACAAGGGTAATAATGAATATTTTGAAAGTCATCTACGGCCCGCAAGGCACTTTCCCTCACATTAATTTGCTTTCTACAACAATCATCTATATAGGCCTCATTATGACCATACCAAACGTAAGGATGCTGAGCCCCGGAAAGGTGAATGGTCCCGCGGCAAGAAAGGCTGAGCTGGGAATCATCACCAGACTAGAAATCCCATGACAATGAACTGCCTAACACCCCAGGCATGACCTTGAGCCTCTGGAACATCACCATCACCTTTTGACAGAGTAGCAAGGGAAGCCCAAACATGACCCCAAACAAACAAATAACAAAAAGAATGATGGCAGTTAGCTCAGTGTTTCTCAAACCTTAATCCCCCAAGGATCTTGTTAAACCACAGATTCTAACGTCTACGGAAGGGCCCAAGAGTTGGCCTTTCTAACAGACGCTCAGGTGATGCCCATGTTGCCATTCCACAGGCCACACCTGGGGTAGCAAAGGGCTGGTTTATGCATTCTTGCTCTCTGGATATTCCTAAAAGACAGAGTTTTGTCTGTCTGCTGCAGCTACACAGGATAGCCTGCTGAAGGTGAATAATGATTATAATCTATCGATGTCCCCCGTGTCCTGCTCACCAGACTCATACTGGGAGCTAATACTTCTTGGGCATCTGTTGGCAAAAAGTCTCACTCTGGGACTGTCAAGCCTTATCTATAAGGCTCAGCCTGAAAGGCCTTTCCAGGATTGTTTCTGTCTGCAACCATCAATAGAAGAGTGCTTTCACTGTATCAAGCAGCACACAGGTTTGGGTATCTGGGCTCCACTTCGGTTACCTAGAGGAAGTTCCTTCAACTCCAAAGAAAGGTGTACAAGCAATACCCTAAGACACCAATTCTGCCCCAATTCTACCCACCAGTACCTGTCTGGCTCAAGTCCTGCCCCTTCTCAAATACCTTCCTCACTCTGGACCTTCCAACTCCCTCCCCTCTTCTCTTCCTCCTTAGAAAGAGCTTGCACTGTGCAGTTGAATCTGCATGCAAAGCTAAGCTTTGCTGCTTTCTGGCTCTCTGACCCTTGTGTAAATCCATCTACCCCCACCCCCACCCCTTCATTTCAGACTCGGCCTCTTCATCTGAAGAAGCCAATAGTATCTTTCCTCTCTGATACTGTTGAAAAAATGATGGACTAAAACAAAGGCATGGAACAGCACCCAAGAGAAGCTGGTATCTCCCCCACCCCTGCCCTTATAAACTAGAAGGGACGTAATTGGAGATTCTTTTGTTCACTCCATTAGTTTTCTCTTCCTAAGAAGGTTGTAGGCTACTTTTCTCATGTCCTTCCAACATGTAGGAGTTCTGGGTACAGCACAGGTATTCGGTAAATATCTTTGTACTGACTGTCCTGTCCTCTATTAAGAGACTTAACCAAGGGGTTGGTGGAGTCAACCAGCCACAGCCTTCGTCTCGGCTCACTTACCGTGTGACTAACTTTTCGGAGGCTTTCCTACTTCCACTATAAAATGCACAAATTCGTCTTTCCTCTGAAACACCTCCACATCCCCCTATCGTGTCAGTATCTTCAACAGTTTAGATTAATAGCGGTGGGTTCAAAGGGCAGGCTGAGAGATCGGACCAAGCGGACTTCATATACTGGCTCTCTCAATTCCTAATTTTGTCATCTTTGAAAAAAGTTAGCTTCACTAAGCTTCAGACTTCTTAATCTTTAGTCAAAAAATAACAGAAACTTACTGGACTCTGTGAGGATTAAGTGAGGTAAATACATGTAACAAGCTTTTCACGTTATCGGACACAGAGTATCAGTCCAATGAATCAAAATACCATGATTATCAATATTGGTCAAAAACAATAGCTATTTAAGAAAGAAAGAAAAAAAGAAAGAAAGAACTTCTAGTGGTGAGACAGGTATTCATAAGCCTTCAACTGAGTCTGAGTCTGGACCTAAGAAAAATCGCAGTTCCATAAGCTGCATGTTATGCCCCCTGCCATTGTCAGAATGTTCTTTGCGGCTCCCCAACTAGACCTCACTGAATAGTAGGAAAGTTACAGAGCAAGCAAATCAGAGAATCTGGGTTGTATCTACTGTGTTATAAAATGTAAGCCTTTTCTCCATGATTTGAAGCTCCTCACTTGAGCTACATAAAACCAAAATTAACCTGATAATAAACAGAAATAGAGTACTTTCTGTGTGTGATGCAACTTGCTAAGTCTCTGAAGTGAACGATCTCATCTAATCCTGCCAACAATGTTATGAAACAGGTACTTCTCACCCCCATTTTTTCCGATGGGTTAATAACTTAAGAGGTGGCAGGTTTGCTAACTTTCCTATAGCATACGGTTCATAAACAGTAGAATATGTATCTGAAACCCCGCCTGCCTTACCCGAGTCCCACTTTTTTTTTTTTAATTTTTAATGTTTATTTAATTTTGAGAGAGAGAGAGAGAGACAGAGTGCAAGTGGGGGAGGGGCAGAGAGAGGGAGACACAGAACTGGAAGTAGGCTCCCGGCTCTGAGCTGTCAGCACAGAGCCCGACACGGGGCTTGAACTCACGAACCATGAGATCATGACCTGAGCCGAAGTGGGATGCTTAACCGTTAAGCCACCCAGGCGCCCCCACCTGAGTCCCACTCTTAACCACTGCATCGTGCATGAAAAGAAGTGCTACTGACACATCATGGGGGGG